AGAGAGAGAGAGAGAGAAAGAGAGAGAGAGAGAGAGAGAGAGAAAGAGAGAGAGAGAGAGAGAGAGAGAGAAAGCAGAGTAAGAAATGAGATCCAACAGCTGGCATTATAATACATGTATTTTACCTGTGATCAAAAGAAATGTACCACTTGTTGACAGCGTAAAAAATCCTACCTTTTGACTTTTGAGACTTTATGCTTTTCCTTTCACGCGAGGAACACTGAGGTAGTTTCAAAAGTAGGTCATGCTATGAAAAGAGCAGTTTGGAGCTTTATTTGCTGTTCACAGCACCAACCTCAAAGGTCGAAAACTTTGGGTTTTTTTCAAGAACACGCGGAGGATTTTTTTCTACCCTTTGCTTTGTGATGAAGTTTTGTTTATCAAAAACTGTAATAACATTTCATCTTTGTCCCTCAAGAAAGATTGTAGCTTCAACTCAACATCAGAAATATCAAGCCATTGGCATGCTTCACGCGTTCTGCGGCTGCCAGAACATTCAACGTCAGCTTTTCTGATTAGAAAAAACTCGCCATGTGGTCGAAAAAAAAGGACTATTTTCTATTGTTCTTGTGTTGGTAGCTGTAAACACAAAGCGGAGCCGCAAAATGCCATTTTTATAACACGGCCTACTTTTAAAACTACGTCGCATTACTCGCATGAAAAGAAAAACATAAAGACTCAAAAGACAAACTTTTATACACCATTAAAAAGTGGTGCCTTTTTTTTTATAGTAGTCTATTATCATAACATCTGCCTATTTGCTATCAATAATTCTAATTACAAGGACGGGGATCTAGATTTTACTTCGTAAGCTTAAGGCACCCCACTGTTGTACTCAAAAGCTGTAATCGAGTTTGATCCATGCGAGGGCGAGATCTTTTTATCGAGTATCTCTATTTAACAGCTGGGATACTGTATCCCACTCTATCCCGATTGGCCGTGGCAAACAGGGCGGAAGAGGCGTATCTCTTAAATTGTATTCCCTAATTAACAAGACAAGAGCCTCGTCAGCCAGTGAAGCAGACCTGTGGTAAGAGATACATGACGTAGAAAGGGGGGTAAAAGTAAAGTACCCCCCCCCTCCCCACCCCCCAGTTCGAAA